CATGGAATTTAGTAGGGTTGCGATCTTTTTTCGTTGCATAGACGTATTTTGAGCTAGTTTTCGCAACTTCTTCGAATTGTATGGACAAATACACCACTTTCAGAGTTTATGGTATCCTTGAGAATTTCCGAGGCGCCGGACCGTGTACATGCTATAATCCCAGACATTTTGCTCGCTTTGTCAAAGAGCTTTGCCAGTCTTAGCAACATACAAGAACTCATCAGAGACAAGCGAAGTCGATCCCTTGACCAGATGTCTACTAAACAGTTGTGGTATCTCTCCTTCTGTCATGATGCATCCACTTATCTTATATCCTCATATCAACCTCTCCACTATAACAATTTCTTACTTGCTTATTTAAAGGTAGTTCAGGTGTGCCTTTTTGAGCGGATTTAGTAAGACCTATTTACACTACCCGCTGGCTTCCTCATCCCAATCCCTGCTGTGCTGGAAGTACTGATCCAAGTCTGCTCTTTCAGTCCACAATCCTCTTCAACCAAGTCCTATCAGAATATTCCTCTTGCCCCATGGAATACATCTCTTAACTCCCGGATTCAATGATCTCATTTGAGCACTGTCCCCATATCCACCAGGGCCTCGATAAATCTGTTCAAAAGTGCACACCTAAGCTCGGTTTAAATAGGCAAATAAGAGAATGTGATAGTGGAGATGTGACACGAGGATATAGGATAGGTGAATTCACCAGGACAGGATAGCACAAATGTTTAGCAAACATTTGGTCAAGGGATCGATTTCATATGCCCCTTCGAAGAGTTGTAGTGAGGTGCTAATAATGTCAGAGTTCACCAAATGAGCAATCTTAAATAGGAAATAATCATGGATACTATAGAATCCGGACAAGATTCATTCATCTATGTCTATCTGCCAAAACGACAAAATTTTGAAGACGAGATCAGACCACTTAAAATAAACTAGCTGAGAAACGATGACTTAATGAGCTCAGGCTACTGAGAAATTTGATTAAAAATTATGAATAGACTGACTTAGCATTTAAAATGGCTGTAGTTTGCATTTAAAAGTTACTGATGAATAAATCAAGTAAAGCGAAAGCGTCTATGATAGAAGCAATATCTACAGGCTCAAAATCATGTTCGCGAGCTTAAAACAATTGTGTAACACATAACGTTGTAACTACCTGCGGACATCAATTGGTGAAGCTAAAATACTCCTGAGCACCATGGTGGCAATTGTTATATGATCATTATCAGAAGTAAAAAGGGGCTCGGCGGCGAGTTCTCTAATGCAGCTAGGAATGTTTAGATGACGTCCGCCATTTAGTGAATTTAAGGCGTATACGAAATGCGGCTCGCCAACTTCTGGAGGTTCAACGTTTTTATCTTCCTTGTTTTCATTTTCCGAAGATTCACACCAAATTTGCCATTGTCGAGCCCGGGATAGGGTAGTTACAAAGCATGCACGTACTGAAACAATTGGTTCAAAAGTAGAAATACTAGAGATAAATGGCATGCATATAGATCTGGAGCTTGTTCTAACCTTTTATATCTTCAAGAATGTCTTCACCTAAGTTGATATCTAATTCTGAAATAAATGAATAGGTATCAAACCCAAATTATTGGA